TTGCTTTCGAAGCTCTGCTTGAGCCTGCACCTGTCCTTATCTGCCCAATATGTGATCTGCCACAGAAGACCAGTGATGTTGCATGCGTATTTGGCTGTATGTTCAACGATCTAGACCTTGTAAGTCTGTATCCTCTTTTGTCGGATTCCATTTTCCTATTGTTTCTTAGTTCTGAAAACCTCTAAGGTTGATCATTTGGAACGAGACCACAGCGACATCCTTGCCGACGACATGGTATGCGATTTTTCGGATCCACGATACCTTTTTACAACGTTCCAGGAGAAACGAACACAGAACAACCCGTCGTCAAATCAAAGGTAACACCGCGCAGATTCGAACTGATTTTCGCCTTTGCTACTTTCGGGGAAGGTCTATGATTTCTTTTATTTTCCTTTTAATTTCTCATTTTGCGTGCGGTTATAGGAGTTCTGAACAAACCGGTGGTGCAGATGGGGATGATGACCGGCATACCATCGTTCTCGTGAGTTGTAATTGTTTTCTTCTCCAGCGTTCAGCAGCTTATTCCACAAACAAAATTTGACTAGTGTATTCTTCAAAGTACTTCAGTGCTTAATTCCTTCCTAGAGGTTAAACATCACGAAAGAAACGGTCCAATAGACAGTGATGGGCAGTATTTTGTCCCTTGTTGAGATGCTGGCGTTCGTATCAAGCAGTAGGGGGCAATTCTGGCGTCAGCATAGTTCAGGAGAGAGGGGCACGTGACGGTGCGACTATATGGTCCCCTTGAAGGCTAATTCTAATGGCTAGATTGTCGCAGACCGACTAGAATCCGCACGGTCTGGTCATGGAGTGGAGAGAAGTGGAGTCAGTGCGTTTCTTTTTCAGCACTTTGATCGTTTTGGGCTAAACACAGTTATCGATCTAGGGTTCTGAGCGTTTCGAGCGCTGTGGGAGAAAAGCCAGCGTTCGAATGAAAAGGAAAGTATAGGTATCGATCTAGCGTTCGGCGAAACGAAAAAGAAACTCCTAAAATGTTCGAAATGTTGGCGATCCCTCTACACTTTCCTTTTCCCTCAACAGCGGGTTTTTCACAAAACGCAAGTTGCGACAAAAGCTGTTGGACCCAGCCTAACCATACGACCTTCATCAATTGACGTCCTTCCATCATTTTTTTTTCGTCGAGAGATAAGACCTAGAAAAGGCATGGCTGCATGATGAAACTGTCTTGAATGCTCCATTCTTCCGGACAGATTGACTGATAGATCATTTACTAACATTGTTCTGCTTCTGTGCCACTGTAGTACCCCAGGTTCCCTTCAGCTTTATAGAGTGATGGTGAAGAGAGAAGCGGGTCGAGTTCACCGGGTGATAGTGGAATGGAGCATAAATACTCTCCAAAAATGCGTCCAAATGCCGTTGAGGAACGTCTTCAGAATGAGAACTACTTGAAAACGACTCAGGAAATACGAGGCTTGAATGTCCGCTTACTATGACTCTGTTAAACTTTTCTCTTACATTCAGTGGTTCATGTTCAGAACTCGAGCAGTGGGAATCCGACGTCAGGAGTAGTGGACATGGAGACGAACGTGTCCCAAGCAACAGAGCCCTCACATTCGAAATCCGCACAGGTTCCATAAAAAGCTTTGTAGTGCTAAATTAAATGACCCGTAACGCTAAGGATTCACAGGAGCAGGAAAACACAAATGGGAATAATGCAGACAATCGAGGGGGAACTTTCAATAGATCGAAAGGATTAGGCGCTTCTGCGAAAGCGAGTCAAGAAACGTACCTCGCGAAAGCCAAATGGCAGGCGTCAGGATATATCTCTGCTTTCTTTTGCCGCTGTGTGTATGAATGAGCTAGGCGCGACAGGACGTAGGCGCCTGTCACAGCCTCTGAGGAGGAGGGGAGGGACAGTGCTCGTCATGTCACTGGAAAGTTCTCGCAAACTACGACCCTTTCCCCTCAAAATACCATTTTCTAGTACTACTCCCCCTTCCCCATCCTACCCAGCATCTTTACCAACTTCCTTAATTTTCCCACTTTCCTACCTTTTCGACATAGTTTTTCTCAAAAAAGCCTTAGGGGCAGAGGTAGACAGTACACGTGAAACAGGAAAAATCAAGAAAAGTCAGCTATTGAAAAACCATTTTTCTTTTTCTCAGAGGCAAAGCACAACCTTCCCTTTCTCCTTTCCCGCGAGGTAGCTGACTTGTAGCATTTTACGGCTTCACAAGGCCTCACAGGTTTTACCAGAATGATACCCTCTATTTAGAGTGAACTCCCTCCCCATTCCCTCTTGCAACCAAACTTCCCTCAACGTAAGAAATGGCCTGGGAGAAGATGGCGCTAGAATCCCGATCAGTCCATGCTGAGGCCAAGCAAGGCTACCATACGTCTCGTGTCGGTAAGTTCAAAGGATGGACTCATCAGCTTTTTCGGCCTGTAGGTTTTCTAGGTATAGCTCAAATCGCATTCAAAATCTACTGGGACCCTGAATATGAAGCGAAATGCCCTCAATAAAGACTGAGAAGATTTAGTCACGACGGCATGCTCAACCTCCATGCTAGTTCCTAACATTTCGTTCATTCAATTTGCTTAGTATAATCACGTGCCTTGTTTGCGACTGGACGCCGTCGATGATTCACGATGCTAACCGTATGCGTGATGAAGTGTCCTCTCATGTACGCTTGCACATAAGGGAAGAATCAAATAAACTCCCAAACAGAGGGGACAGCTTCTTCGGGGTAAGGTATCCTACTGGAGGAAGAGCCTCCTGGTTACTTCGTCGATGTTATGTTAGATAACGTGATTTCAGGACAAACGCCTATTGAGTTGTATGGATTTCAGTTTAGAGGAATATTTTGAGAAAGAGCACCTAACGGATCTCAGCGGCACGATAAACTCTAGAATTATGGAACGAGTGTACGGAGATCTCCTTGCCAAGGTCAGCTTACTTTCTGGTAATCTTATAGTCACCTTGTTTTCGGATTACGAAGGACGAGGGAGCACTATTTGCAAGGTCGCAGAGGCTGGCGAAATAAGATGTTAGGCCTGGTAGCAGCTGCTTTTGCCTTTTTTTCATATTCTAATCTCCTAGTTGTTTTTTAGCTGGGTTTGGCCCAGCGCCATCTCGTTCCCTGCCATTTTTGGATGCTGGTAAGAGGCCACAATTGGTGGAGAACGGGCTGGTTCCGCGCCAAACCCAACTAAAAATCAACTAGAAGATTAGAATATGCAAAAAAGCAAGTCAGTGAGCCCGGCTAAACCTTGTCCCCTGACATGCATCCGTAGCGAACACCGAAATATCCGCAAGCATAACGGAGACTTTTGAGCTCTTCGTGAGCCCTTCGGTATCTAATGCAATGAACTTTCGGCCTTTTTGAATCATACCAACTATATTTCCCGTAATATATATGATTTAATATTCAAAAGTAAAACTGATGCATTAAGTTGTTTGGTATATGTGTTCCACTTGTCTATCGGATTCTACATGGTAATAATGGAAATCCATTCCGTCCACCGGAAAATTATAGCGCAAAACGGAAGAAGGCTCGGTGTGCTAATCGAAGAAACCGATGGAAAGGTGAAAAAGGTAATGTTCCGCGCTTTTCTGGCAATTACGATGGCTTTTATTTGGGAGGTTTCAGAGAGATCCCAAAAGGCTTCGTCACGAGCCAGTAAAGGTAGTTCGAAAAGGACTCCATCCACTAGCACTATCACAACAGAAAGGTATTAGAGTTTTTTCTCTCCATTTGTTATAATCCGCGAGAAACTCTTACTTTAGTGTTAATAGTGATGCCGACAGCTGTGTTCATGAAGGCGGTGATCTTCTTGGCATAGGGAACTTCGAATCGAATCAGGTTTGTGTTGTTACGAGCATTCAGGTGTAGCATTGATTTTTAGTACTGGCTTGCTTT